AAGAGCCATAATGAACCTGAAAGTAGCGGTCTGTGAGATATGATTTCAGTATTATGTAATATGTTGGGTGTAGGAATTGCTTTAATTTGTATAGCAGACCTTCGTGCCATACTCTGTCGAAGGCCTGGGATACGTCAAGGAATGCACAGGTGCAGTAAAGTTTTTTTTCGAGGGCAAAAGAGGCGGCGTCAACAACTCTATGGACTTGGTGAATAGTCGAGTGTTGAGCACGAAAACCAAATTGATAGTCAGGTATAATTTTTTTATCGAACATGATCGGAAGGATACGCTTAAGCAAAAGCCTTTCCAGTATTTTGGCAAAAAACGGTAGTAAGCTGATCGGTCTGTAAGAATTTACGGAGTCAGGTGGTTTGTTTGGTTTAGGGATTAAAATGATTTTAGAGAATTTCCATAGGAGAGGAAAGTATGAGAGCCTTAGGGTAGCGTTGAAAATGTGCGTAAGAAGGATAATTGCACGTTTTGGTAAGCATCTGGTGACTTCGGCTGTAATTAAGTCAAATCCTGGGGATTTCCTAAGTGAGTATTTTTGTATTGTATATTTTACTTCACTGGGCGTGAAGTGTTTTACTGGTAGAGATATAGGGAGAGGAGAGTCAAGATACATTTGTACTGTGTTTGTAGTAACTGTTGAGGATGTTTCAGGGTTAGGTAGGAATATTTCCTGAAGATGATTTTTGAATAGTTCTGCTTTTTCAGCATCAGTAGAAGCAAGACTACCATCTGGGTTTTTTATTGGGGGCGATGTGGCTTTATATTGGAGAGTTTGTTTTGTTGCCTTCCAGAGACTTCCATCTTTGGCCGAGAGGTTATTCAAGTAGTTTTCAAATGAAAGATCTTTATTTTTAGATAAAACTTTCTTGAGAGAGTTAGCTAATCTATTGTAATTTTGTTTAAGAGATGGGAGACGGTGTCGTTGGTACAGGGCTCTTGCTCTCCTTTTTTCCACTATAAGTGCACGTATATGACTCGGCAAAGAGGGATGATATGAATAGGAATGATTTACTTTAGAGATGGATGACCATGCCGCTGATTGAATTATATTTGTGATGCTATTTACTGCTAAGTCTATATCATCCGTGGATTTTAGTTTAATATTAAGTTTTATTTTTTGATCAACAAGGTCATGAAATTTGTAACGATCAGTTGTGGCATTGAAAAGTTTGGGAGGTTCCGGACAAGTTAATGGATAATCGTTAAGTGTTAATATAACAGAAGAGTGGTCCGAGTTTAAGTCTAAGATATTATCAGTAGAGTGAAATAAGTTAGATGGGATTTTAGAAACAAATATGTCAAGTATATCTGGGTTTTTTTGAGCAGAAGTTGGCCAGTAAGTAGGACCTGGGGGGGCAAGTATTTTAAGTTTTTTTGTACATACGACATCACGTAGTACAAGACCACGTGGGTTATTTGTGCGACATCCCCAACTTTGATGTTTGGCGTTAAAGTCGCCTCCAACTATAAAATTGTTACCAAAGGTGCAAAAATAGTTATTGAAGTCAGCAATTGTAACAGAATGTCTTGGAGGTGAGTATAGTGCCGCAATTGTTACAGGAATATTATTTATGTTGATTAAAATAGCACAGGACTGTAAGAAGTTTTGACAGAAATTAGGAAGAACTTGGAATGTAATGGTGGATTTAATTAGTATGGCGACTCCGCCGTGAGCTGTATTATCTGGATGATTGGCTTTCAGTAATTTGTAACCTGGAATATGTACCTTAGAGTATTGAGTGAGATGAGTTTCAGTAATTAATGCAATATCAATACGTTTGTTTTGTAGTACTGATTGGATTTCAATAACATGATTTTTAAGACCGTTTGCATTGAATAGTAATATTAAAAGGGATTTACTTGTGTGTGTGTTGTTATTCATTTTTTATTATCTAAAAGACTAGTTATTACTTTGGTAAGTAGGGATATTAAGGGATTTATTAAAGATTTAAAGTACTCTAGGAAACTTGTTATTGTTTTGTTGATATCAGCTGTCGGTGGGGGCAGCTGTTGATTTGAGGAATGGCCTGACGTGATCTGTGCATAGGATGGAGTGGGGTTTGGGTTAGCATCATGAGTAGGGTGGCTGTCTTTTACAACTAGTGACTTATCTCTAATATTATCTGACAAAAAATAATGATTACTAGTGGCAGGTTTCTTACGTCGTTGAAGGTCCTTATATACTGCACAACCTTTGTAACTAGCTGGGTGATTCCCTTGGCAGAGTGCGCATGTTGGTGAAGCATCCGTGGATTTGGACAAGCGGATGATGGGTGGCCGGCGCCGCAGCGAACGCATCGTGGTGGGTAGCCACAGTACGTTTTTGTGTGACCGTAGTTTTGGCAATTTAGACATTGGCTTATAGTTTTAGCTTTGAACGGTTCTTCTACTTTGATTTTTGTGTGTAATAGATTTGTCAATTTGTATATATCTTTTGATTGGTTGCTGGGTTCTAGATCAACAAAAAAAAGTGGTAATGGGTGCTTATTTGTTTTGTGTAGAACATTGGTAATATTTCTAACTTCAAAATTATGAAATTCTAATTCAGATTTTATAAGACTAGTTGGCGTTGATGAATGTAGGTTGCGAATTACGACGCGGACGGGCTTATCTTGTTGAAGCTGATAGGTGTGGTATTCGGCTTTTTCTTTCTTTAAATACCGTATCAGAGACCTATATGCATCTGGAGTGCTAGTTTGAATTTTTAATCCGTCTGCAGATGATTTGCAGACAAAGTTTTCAACACCGATTAATTCTACAAGTACTGTGCATAGTTCTGGAAAATCCTCGACACCTCTTACAAAAATCGGAGGAGGGGGTTTAATTGGTGGATTATTAATACACTCTGTCTGCATGTCAGTAGTAATGTTTTCAGTAGAAACATTGAGCGGGAAATCGAATTGATCATTTAACTGATTGGATTGTTGGTCTTCGTTTGAAGCGAGGGCTTCATAACGATTTGCTGAAGTGAATATTTTTTTTCTTGTTTTGGGAGGTTGTACACGTGGAGAGTTTGGTTCTGAATTAGTAGAACTAGAGAGATTTCTTTTAGATCTTTGTACAGTCCATCCTGCTTCTGATTGATTATTACTTGTGTCTAGTGATGAGTTGAAGGTTTTATTTTTACTAATTGTTAACGGGGATACGCTGTTATTTGTTATACTAATATCATTATTATTATTCTTGTTGTTGATGTTATTTCTGCTAGTCATTTTAACTAGAATGTAATTATTATAATTAAATTACTAAATAAATGAAGTAACAATCACAATGCGATTGCAATAAAATAAATGAAGACGACGGTGGGATGCGATAACGTAATGTATTATTATTAATAATAAGGAGACCGCCGAGGCGGCCGCCGATAAGACCGTATGCACTTAGGCTGCTAATATTACAGCTAGATGACAATTACCGTTCAATATTTTACGTTTGTTGCTGTGCACGAGACTTTAGTTGAAAGTGAAGAATAAGTAGAGTGGTTACATAGACAAGTCACATCTTGATAACCGGTTTAGCAATAATAAACGAAAACACACGTTGTACGATAAGACAGTAACTTAGACCGCACTATACGCACATGCGTATCGAACGACGGCTATCGCGGAACTGACGTACATTCGTTAAATATTTTTTTATTAATGCAAGTCTCCACAAATTAATGAAAATTCTTATTATTAATTTTATTAAATGGGTATATGCATCTAACAACGGATTTCATAAGTATTTTGAAAAATTCGTTTTTTTTTTTAGATAAAATTATTTCTTTTGAACCATTAGACTTGTTCCGTTTTGATTACGACTTTTGAATACAAGCTTTGATTTATTTATCCGTTTTTAAATATTTTGTAAGATACTTGACTTTGATGTCATTCTTTGGGCACTTTGAATATGTGTATCGAGAAACAAAGACGTGTCGTAACTACCCAAATGAAGATTTTTGTTTCATTACTTAAATAATAAATCATTTTAAAGTAACTACTTCTAAATGAAATTAGTTTATAATACAGAAAAAAGTAAAATGTTTATAAGAGCAAACGGAACATAAGACATTATGGTTCTGGATATAATGTTACAATAGAAAGAAAAAAAAATACTAGGAATTTACCGGTATCACGTTATTGGAAAGAATTAGATAAAAATTTTATTAGTTCATTAATTTGTTTAGTATTTATTTCCTCTATCATGATTAAATCACTGAAAAATTTTAAAACTACATAAGAAAGTTTAAAAAATGTAGTAATATACCAAAACTTACCAAATGTTTCATTAAAAAAAAAATTAAATATAAATTTTATGTTCAAATTGTAGTTCACTTGAAACGGATGTTTAGCTTACAACTAATCGAGTCGATATAAAAAATAATTATTATTATTTGATTATAATCAAATGCAACAATATCTTAGTTAAAATATACTCCAAAAAAATTCAATATTTTAAAATTCAATAAATTCATAATTATATACTTAGTTAAGTTAACTATTATTAAGAGTGTTCAATAAGTAAGGAAACGGGTTTCTATTGTTCAATTGTTTGTGAAAATTTACCTGTTTCCTTATTTACTGAACACTTGTCAGTATGTGCATTTCTCAGTAGTGTATAATTTTTGCATAACTAAAACGCCGTCGTACAAATACATTTTGTAATTGTATAATAAAATAACTGGATCAAAAAATGTTAATTTAGGTATTAACATTGTTTTAGCGAAAAAAATTGGACATAACTTCTATATAAAGTGATTTTTTATTATCAATTACTTACAGAATAAATATAATTTAAACTTTAGTTACACATTATTCTTGAATAATTAACTACGTAATACTTTTTTAAGTTTATTCCTTATGTCTTACATGAGTGAAAACTTTGTTGTTTAAAATGGGAACACTTATTTTAAATTTAATAAAGTGTTTCAATTTTTAATATAGCTTCATTCGTTAGGAAGGCAATAGATTTTAAATTATTAAAAATAAATACATAAAAGTGTTCATCTGAATATTTTTTATTATTATTATTATTAATACTCTACCTAAGAAATTACAATGAATCAGCCACTGAATAAATGTTTTATACATACATTTGTATATTATGTAATACAATTACTTTAATAATTATTTTTAATTAAAATATACGATGAAATATTGTTATTGATTTTTCAATGGCGGTACATATGTTGGTGGTATCAGCATAGCTGGTAAATTTATAAGATCAATGAACATCTTGTACGAATCACTATAATTATTAAAATATATATTAATATAATATTCATCATTGCGTAAATTACATGTAAGAGTTCAAAAAGATTGACTAAATAATTGGCATTTTAATATTTTAGTCTAAAAATATTGAATTTTTTATTAATTTAATATAATTTTCATATTTATTAAAAAAAACAATATTACCTTAACGTTAATTTAAGATATTCAGTTCCACTAGTACCACCAGTGCCAGAATTATGTGATCCAATCATCCTATGAACCATGACTAAATGATGGTCTGAAAAATTAATTTTACTCATTTAGTTTAAATCATTTTACTAACAAAATTTTGAAGGATTAAAATAAATCATAGCTGTAAATTATTTTCTCTAAAATTATTAATAATTATGTCTTTATGTTATCTTAGTTATTCGCTATTCTCAATATTTATGCATCAATAAAATCAAAATAAAATGAAAACATTTAAAAAAATATATGTATGTATGTCAATGTATTTTCCAATATTATATAAATAATAACTTATAAAATTATTAATTTCAATTTTACTGAGTTAAATCATTATTAAATAATTTTAAAACTCTCAATGATTTTAAAATATTTATTAAAAAAAGTACATATTTTTACTGATTTGTCTTTTACTTAGAAAGTTTAACTAAATAATAATGCAAAATATTAAAATATACTTATTTTATTAATGTACTAATTGACATAATTTTTTTTATTATCTAATGTTTATAATTGATGTTAGAAGTATCAAATCTAAATTTTTAGTAAAATGACTACTTATTTTTAACTAAATTGTGCCTGATAACGATATGTACTCTTATGTACAGAATTTTTTAGAATGGTAATATCCATATCTAAAATGAGTAGATTGCTCGAATATGTCCAAAACCTCTATTACTTCTATTATTATTTGTTTTTTTTTCAAAACAATATATATTTATAATATGTACTTACGCCTCCATTTGCATAAAATCGTATCCAAATCAACCAGGGACTCTAATATTTGATTGGCTAATCCGTAACCCTTCTCATTTCTGTATGCATAAATTAATATAACACTTTTTAATGCTTTGTGTGATAACATTCGGTGACCTTGTTTAACTAAATTTTCATGTTCATTACAGTCAAATACAGAGTTTAATATTTTGCGACTTTTTTCTACACATGTTCCATTAATCTAAAATGATAAATCAACATACAGAATTATATAAAAGGAATTTTTACAATTAATAAGTATAGTAATAATTTATATAATTAGTAGATGTTATATAGAATTAGTAGATAATTTGTTCTTTAAAGTACACGTTGATTCTTTTAATGCTAAACACTCAATTTCTTTTAAAATAATAATTATACTATGAAAATTATTTTTTGTATTCTTTAGTTTCATATATTTCGTGATTTATCAGTTATTAATTACTTTCTTTATTCATCCATATACCTTATCAGAGATTCAACTTAATTTCTTACAACATATATAAATGTGGACTAGTACTTCGAAATTTATAACCATTTTAAATTATAAGCTGCTGATGAGGTGCGAGTATAACAATATTAAACTTTAGACATTTCTTCTTCCGCTTAGGAGTAAAAAGGATAACTTGAAAAGAAGAACTTGTAATATTATATTATCATTTATAATATTAACATTCAATGATGTTATCGTTAAATATATTATGAATATACAAGATCAACCAAAACAGGGTTTCCTTGTTTTTTAATACAAAATAATCAGCTAATTATGGAATAAAATTTACTTATTGTACAGATTTTTAAGTAACGCGCAGGGTCCCCATTATAATTAACCAATTTGAATAGAAAACCTCAACTTCCGAGCTAAGGATCACTAGACGTCAAATTAACTTAAGTTTACTTGTCCATTAAATAATAATGTTTTATTTTTCTTATTGTAGAAATAAACGTCAATTGATATTTTAAACATCAAACTTTTTCAAATTATTTTATTTTAATAATAAATCCAACACAACTTTAAATTTTTATTTAATAATAAAATATTATTGTCAGCTTTTCTTATTGGGTAAATAGTCTCTGAGCTTAATGTATTTGTTCTAACGAACGTCGTGTCGGTGGACAGCACAAAGACACTTACGAATATATTTTTAGTGTTTAATTATTGTCTTATTGATTATTGTGCCGCATCCTTTCAAGGTGTCAGAGTCGAGACACATTGGATCACCAAAATACTACCTTGATAAAATGTTTACATAGATATAAATATTTTTGAATTATATTTTGACTAGGCCAGTGAAATATTTAAAAAATATTGGTGTCGAAGTCTCAAAAAAATACACTTATTCAACAAAGTTAAAAATAATAAATAAGGATAAATTACAAAATTATACTTCTAATAAAGAATATAGAGTATTTAGAATCTTTTACATATAATAATCCATCATAGATTTTGTGTAATGTACCATTTTTTTTTTTTTTTCAAAATCTCTCAAGCAAAAGCAGCATTCACGAACAAAAGACACCTACTATGCTCTAAAAACATGAGTATAAGTATGAGGAAGCGGCTGGTAAAAGTATATGTGTGGAGTGTTGCACTATGCAGATACGAATCATTGGTACTGAACAAAACGGAAAAAAAGTTCTTCGACAATTTCGAGATGTGATGCTGCAGATGAATGTTGCGAGTAAAATGGACAAAAAGAAGAACCAACAAAAATATTTTAAACGAAATAAATGAAACCAGGAAAATACTTAGCACCATTAAAGAAAAAAAATGGATTATGATTGGTCATGTCTTAAGACACGAAGAAGAGCTTTTGTATATTATAATAGAAGAGAAGATAAATAGCAAAAGAGATAGAGGACGACCAAGAACATCTTACATCAAAAGGATGATTTCCGATGCAGGCCTAACAAACTATAAAGAATTGAAGAGGTTAGCTGACAATAAAGATGAATGAAGAAATTAAGGAAAAATGCAAAACCAACCTTAGGGTTGAACACAAAATAAAAATAAAATTTGGTTTACTACAAATTTTCGAATTACTGGACCAAAATTTGTAATCGACTAGTCCTTTTAATAATTAGATAATATCCTATTTTATAAGCTAAATAAACATACATGTTACTATTTAAAAAAATTAATTTAACGTCGTTATAAGAAATAAGGCATACATTAAAAAATTAATCAACAACTGATAAACAAAAAAATATAAGACACTAAAAAATACTACATTCTTCAAACGTGAGCTGTCTCAGTTATAACAGCAACACGTAATAATTAAAAATTTTTCTCAATTTTAACTTCGTCTAAAAGACAAGATTTTAACCTTTCTTATAAAATAAAACACCCAAATAGCTTATTAGCCTTGGTCGTTGTGGAGCTTTTTCTATGGTAAATATTAACTGCCTTCCATAGTAAAATCATCACTAATGAACAACGGACAACATATCTTATCTAAATCTTTTCTAATTTTTTTTTTCAAATTATTATTGATTTTAATTTCTAATATGTTGAAAATAATCAGTACAAAATGTTATTTTTAGCCTATTTTTTGATTCTTTAAAGTTGATTTTTACGAAAGTTTCTAATTAAAAAAGGTTTTACTTTTTATTATTACTTTTTTTTAGCTCAACTTGCGAGTTTGTTGACATCATTAGATAGAAAATTTTATGAGCTTTTAAAAATGATATTATTAAGATTAATATGGAGTCATTAAATTGTAAATAACTACTATTTACAGTAAATTTATGAAAAATATTCAATATTTCGATAAAATCAATATTTTTTTTGCATTTTTAATACGAAAGGAGACTACAGAAATCGAGTCATTGATAATTATAGAAATTATTCCATCTAAATAAAATAAATAGCAAACGAATTTTGAATTTTTTTCCACTTCAAAAATAATTAGGGAAAAAAGCAAACAAATTTCACTTCGAAGGGTAAGGTTCGACTTTTTGAATTCCAAGACCGTATTATTATCGACACAGAAACCATACATCACACTTGTTGGTAGATAAAAAGAACAATGTAAGTTAATTGGTATAAAGAATTTAACAACAAAAATTTGTGTTGATCCATACATTTTTCAAAAATTTGTAGCAATTTATGTTGAAAATATAAAATTTAAAACCGAATATCTCAACACAAAAATAGCATGTTTTTAACTACGGCAGCCATTTGCACGTAAAAGATAAGTCGTCGGGAAAATTTTTTTTTTTTTTTTTAAAGTATGTAACATAAGTTTAATTTAAAATATGTTTAAAGGACGCAGTATTTCCGGAACATTTTCAAATGTTAAGTTGAAAAAGTTGAGTTTCGTAAAAAAGTCTGCCCACAAGAGGGCAGCTAAAGTGTCAGATTTTCTAAAATATTATATGAAATAAAAGGGTATTACTTAAGGTTTCAATATAAAAAGTATTTTGATTTGTTATTTTTTTGTAAAATTTATGGCCGTTTTAAGTATTGAAATATTAACATGTTAAACGGTGGTTTTTATATAAAGATTACATTTTTTGTTCGATTCGGCGACCGTTTGCCCATAGAAGAAAACCACAAATTAACTCTTAAAATGAAGTCATTATTTCTTTTTTACACATCAATAATATTTCCATTGATCACCTATGCTTGACTTGTGTGATCCTCAGTATCCGTTACTAAAATCAAGAAATTGCAAATACTCCAAAACAAATGCTTAAGAATATTTCTTAAAACTCCATATTTATGAAAAACTGACAAACACACAATGATACAGATGTACTATTCCTTCAAACTGCATCAAAAATACGTTAAAAAATTTCCATAAAAAACTCAAAATAACTGATGGTGCAAAGTATTGAAAATAAAATGCCAAGCAAACGCTTAAAACACCTCCTCCCTTAAAATAATATTTTATTTATATAAAATAATATAAATTTTATTTACGATTCCTCCTAAAACGAATAAAATTGTAAAACAAGATTACTATTTTTATGTTAACATTATACATTAAAAAACTATACGATGTAATGTTATATTATGACAAAACACTTATAAAAACATCTAAATATGTTCTGTGAACGTTAAATAAAATCGGTCCAGTAGGAGCGAAAGTAATCGTGTATTCGGACACCACAAAAAAAATCATGGCACAGTAAAACCATTAGGTTCACAACTACACATCAAATCTAAACATTTAGAATTAGATAAAAAAATGTATAGTATTTAAACTATACTGCAGTTAATAAGTATAATAATATTATTTTACAATTATTATTCATTCAGTCCCTAGCTTAACGCTGATGACCAGGTGCGCTGCTTGATGTTGATTCCCGGATGGGTAATCAAACAGTAAATTTAACAGTGACATCATCTTGCCCCCTTACTGGCTCCCTCTGCTAAAATAAGGTTACTTCAGCTCGACAGCCGGTGTAAAATTCCTGTCTAATCGTAAGGTAAAGTCGACCTCAAATAGTCGGTAGAGGTTAAGGTTATGATAATAATGATGATAATTTTTACCGATCACAAAAATTTAATATCTAATGCTATACGCTTTTAAGATTAAAGTACCTCAGACTCTTGCAACCACTCGTTGGCAGCTAATTTATAGTGATTCCATGTCACTTCATTAAGAAGCTGAGGTGTAGACTCTAGCCATTTATGAACTAGTAGGAACAAAGTTGGTTCAGATTGAGTTCGTTCGAATTCCTCGTTTTTATTGTCTTTAAAACAATCCGAATATGATTGACAACAATACACACGTTTTTCCTTTTGTAAAAAAATCAAACAATTGTTTTATGAGCTGGTGAAAATCTAATATTTTTAATATTATATTATATTATTAACTGATATAAACAGTAGTTACGCATTTAGTTTATAATGATTGAATTTTTTATTTTATGGTAATATACCTTTTTTAGTCCAAGTTTATTTTCCAACATACGAAATTGAAGGCTTTGAAAACCAGATGCAGGTGTTAACACACCTCGAAATTCAGCAAAATCACAATGATGCATGGTTTCTAATATTTCAAACTGGTGCAATAATAACTAAAACAAGCATATGTTAATCAAGTTAAATAATTTTTTTTTTAATTTTTCGTTTATTTTAGCATATAAATACTATTAAACGAGTTAAACTGAACTCCAAAAGTAAGAACAAAAATCCGTCGAGTGTTCTTCTTAAATAATCCTTCGTTATTGATTAGGTATTGTTTAGTGAAACAGGCGCGTACTTAAAAAATAATATTAACTCTTATCGCGTATACTTTTAAGTATAATTTTTGTAATAATATTTTATTATATAATATAAAATTGAAAAATCATTCAATGCTGGAAAAATGATTTAACAATACCCAATTTTATTATTATTTTTTTTTTAATAAAAGATTTCGGCGATATTATTGTGAGAAAATTATCCGGGTTTGTTAGCTCCAACTTGTGTATTAATACTTAATACTTAATACTTCATTATATAAAAAAAAAATTATTTGTAATATTTTTCTATCACAATATTAAGTTAAAATAGGATTTTAAACTATTTTTTATTCCCCATTTGAGAAAATTAAATTTAAAGTTCAAGCTATGAAATGATGACAAGAAAATATTTAATTACATTCAATTTTGGACCTAATATTATTTTCTCTTCAAAAAATTAAATATTCTCAATAGTTTCTGAAAAATTAAACGTATATAAGTTATAAAAAGATTGAGATACTAATTTTAATTACAACCTTAACTTTACCTATCATACTGGTTTTATAACAAACAAAGCAATTATTTAGGGACCGTTAAAAGTCTATGTTTATTTTTCTCATCCTCAATCGATAAAAATTCTATTTTGCTATTCATTATACATTAAAAAAAGTGCGTTCTAATTTAGATTTAAAACATTAAAGAAATTAAACATTGCAATAAAACCTTAAAATCAAATCATATAATTTAAAAACTAGCATTCTCAAAAACAAAACAATTATATTATAAAAATGACACTTTAAATTGGGATTAGTTATTTACAGAAGACAAAAATCAGAAAAGAGGGTTGACGTTTTGACTAGTAACGTCTCTTTAGTAGACATATTTTAAGCGTCTAATTTCTAATTTTATACCGGGCAAACGGGTCTAAAGGCTACCTAATTAGCGACTCATTTGTTGGATATATTGTGCAAATTTGTGATACACCCGACAGGAGGACTCGAGTAGAGCCAAATACGCGCATTGACGCCGAACAATATAATTAAATTATGTGTTTGTATTCGTGTTGACAGCCAGGCCAAGTCGGTGTATGACAGCTTCGAATTAATATATAAGGAAGTTTATAATAAATAAATAAAAATAATTTTTAGTTTAGTAACAGAAATCATTAAATTGTTTAAAAATAAAATATATTTTACTTACCTTAAATATCTTTGTTATTCTACCAAGGCGTTTGATCACATTTAACATTTCTGGTTCGTTTTTCTAAAATGATTAATTATTATTAATACCATATTTGAATATTATTAAATGACGAATTAGACCATTTCGTTATACATAAAAAAATTACAAAATTCACCAAGCCAATAAATTATATTGAATAATCTCTATTGTAGATTCTTATATTGTTATATTAAAATAAATGAACTACAGATTTTCTTAAGAAAATGACATTTTAATATAAAATACACAATTGTTACTCACAACGTGACCCGGTCACATTGAATGCCGGTCAACAACTGATAACATAGAATTAGGAGAGAGAGTGTGTATACCACAATCTCAAAAAACAATACTTAGTAGCCAGTTTTTTAAGATTAAAAACAATTAATTGTACACTATAAATTCTCAAACAAGTAATATAATTGCATGAAGTGCTTAAAGATGTATCCATGAAAGCTTTAACACATTCATAAAGTAATATAATTTTCACACAAAAATAGCTATTTTTACCGTAAAGACAAATAAAGTCAGAAATTTTTTTTTCCATAATGAAGTATATTACATTATCTTCAATTTAAAATATATATAAAAGTGTCAGACTTTCCGAATCACTTTCAAAAAATAAGTTTAAAATGTTGTCATTTTGAATCTCCCCTGTGGGCAGGTAAAGGGTCAGAATTATAAAAAAAATAAACAAAATGATAAGTAAAAACATCATGTATCTATAAAAATAAAATTATATTGATCCATACATTTTTCAAAAAGTTATAGCATTATAAAGTTAAATATATAAAAAAGAATTTTTTTTACAAAAATCGTATTTTTTTATTAACTTTGACACGGTACCGTGTTTCCCTCAGCCGCACATCACGTTATCAACCTAAATGAAAGTGTATCGGGATCTGAATCATAAGTGCACGCACGGTGGCCTAATGGTAAGGTTTGTCTATACGACGCCTTAGGTCGCGGGTTCTAATCCCGTACCGTGCCTCTTTTTTTCACATGATTTCCGGTACACTTTATATAACCGGCCGTCAATCCCCGGCGGCCGTATTAACTTTGATATCAGTTTTCACCATAAAGACAAAATAAAGTTCGAAATTTTTTTTTTTCCATAATGTAGAATATTATATTAGCTTTAATTTAAAATATATATAAAAATGTCAGACTTTCTGGAACATTTTCAAAAGTTAAGTTGAAAATGTCATTTTGAATCTTCCCTGTGGGCAGGTAAAGAGTCAGAATTATAAAAAAAATATAGAAAATGATAGGTAAAGCCATCATGTATCTATAAAAATAAAATTATATTGATTTGGTTATTTTTAAAAAAGTTATGACAGTTTTAAGTAAAAAAAATTGAAAAAATTATTGATTTTTAAATTTGTAATTTTTTTTGAGATTTTCCCCATTGACGGTGAACGAGGGATATTTTTCAATTTTTGAAGGTATTGTCTGACTAGATACGATTTGTGATCTTTTGACGTATCATTGAAAAAAATCGGTTAAGTGAGAGCTGAGAAAAAGTGTTACCAGAAATAAAAAAAAAAAAAATCTTAGTAAAATAATACCTTCTCAGCTTCGCATCGAAGCAAAAAAATGTATTATATGCACTGAAATTTCTATAAAATGACCATACAATGAAAATTATCAAAAAATGATAATAAAATTTATACCATTGAATTATGCATTTCAATTCAAATTTCTTTGAAGTCTTGACTTAAATATAAATATTAAAAAAAGAGATACAAATGCATCAAGTTCTGGGCCCTAGTATGAGATAACAATTCATTTGTCAAAAATATTTACAATTTTACTTGTTAGCTATAACATACGTGTTATAATGATTTAATTATTTTTAAATTAATTTTGTTAATAATTGTTAATAAAACAATTATTAATAAATAATAAGCTTACCCAAATATCTATTTCAAATGATTTTCGTATTATGTCAATCTCGAATAAAATTTGTTTGAACCAAAGCTCAAATGCTGCAAAATTTGAAAATATAATAGTAACATTTAACTTTTAACTATTCAAAATGAAGTATATTAATGTACACTAATTTTATAGACATAACATTTTTCTAATTTTCCAAGAGGAAGATGATAAAAATACTACACGCAAAATCTTAAAAAGTTGCTATAGAATTTTTTACTATTTTTTATCAAGTTTTGCGTTGATCTTATTCTTTGTTTAATTAAAATAATTTTAATTTCTTTTAATATAGAAAATTATATTTTGCAAGACTTTCATAAAGTGAATACATTCATCATATCTCTTTACCATTAAAACACCATTAATTCTTGATACCTAATCGTTAAAATTATCATTGAATAATGTTAAATTTCTAAACATTTTTTCATATTTTCTTAAGTATAGAGTATTTAAAGATATGTCTTCAAACGCAAAAACTTTTCGATTTGAATAACCTGTATAATATATTACCTAGAATTTTTAAGTATAAGAAGGGAAGAATCTTTTATGATTGTTTAATTGTACGTTTTTAATTTAGAATTTTGTCTAATTTTATTTAAGATAATTACCTTGGTGAGTAATGATAAAAAGATGTTCATCAAACGAGACAATACCTTGGAGCTGTGGGCTTAACATAACTTGTGACGAAAGAAGTTGATCTAGTTTTAAGTACTCAGAATAATTTTGCACGTGACTACTTTTGCATTTCCTGTGTATTTTTATGTGTAAAAATTTAAAAAATCATTATTTTAATGTCATTAAATAACATTAAAGATAACCAAAGCTTACTTATTTTTATGCTGTCCATTTTGCTCTAACCTGTTAGTTTGATTCATTTTTAACACTACCAATTTGATGAGTGAATTATTGATAAGTAAACTGAGTACAGCTAATTTAAGAATAAAATTAGTGATATAGAAAAAAGTAAACACGCGGAATCAAAAGTTATACAAAAATAAATGTACTCTGTAGGTATATACGATAACAGTCAACTGACATACAAACATGAAAGCTGGTCCTTTTTTATAGAACTAGTTCGTAGGAATGTTAATAATGTATCGGTAAACGAATAAGCAAAGTATTAAAGTAATCTAATACCCTTTTAAACGCAAACGTCACATAAAGTATAAAACTCTAGAAGGATTGAGTGATACTTTTATTATGAACAAGTTACGTAATAGTTTAGGGTTCATTTGTCATTTATGTTTATGTAAGTATAACACAGCTGCAGTATAATTATTGATACTATTATTAAACAGCACATATATATGATAAAGCAAAAATCATCAATGTTTCTTTTTAGAGTATTCAAATAAATTTTTTATTAACAAATATTTACAGACCCTTACAACACATTAAGGTCCATACTAGGGTCTCTATCAAAAGATTTAATAATACAGGAGTATTCCATGAATTTTACTGGAGATCGCTAGTTTGCTTTTTCCAATATATAAAAAGCCCATTTTTTTTTCCTAAAAACAGAACTTTTTGGTCAGTAGTCACTTATATATGGAATCTGCGTCAATATAAGTAAATATTTTGTCCCGAGGACTTAGTTTTTTTCCGTATTACGCTGAATAGTAAACATTGTTTTTTGATGATTTAAAATATTTTACCCAAGAATAAGAGTTATTCATTTTCATTTTTACCTAAATATTCTCATAAGAATGAATATTATTTTATTATATTTAACAGTATTATATATTCGTCTCTGAACAACCATAAATATTTAACATATATTAACTAGTTTAACTGTGTTCGCACCAACTAAGTACGCTGACAAATACTGGGCCACCATAGTCTTGTAAATTATATTTTGAATATAAACAGACATATTCTTATAAAAATGATTTTGGCAAGTTCAAAGTGTGTTAGAAGAATACTATCGACTACAGAGAATTTCTTGAAAAAATTATTAGTGAAAATCTAGGATAATGTGAAAAGAGTTTGAAAATAATAAAAAAAAGATAATAAATCAAAATAAAGGCGGGTGCCTTTAGAGAGAATCTTATAAGTACGAATATTATAAATAAAGTATATTTTTGAAGTAATGAAAGTGTGTATTGATGATTTAGATCTAATATGTACATAAATCTAATTAATCGAAATAAACGCGATATCAAACAAATGACTGTCATCTCTGAATTAAAAAGTAAACACAATATCAATTCAAATAACCATGAAAGGAAACAAAGGTAAATGCGAATATTTGTTTGCAACAATTACTCCTTAAATCTCCATGTAATAAAATAAGAATAGAAAGAGATATTGTTATTCAATTGTTCAATTCTTATTGAACGCTGAATCGTTTTACACATCAAACCCCAAGACCCCTTTTCATAATTATTCCACTAACAATTAGTGTTATAATCACTTTATTTTTGTTTAATACGCAGAAAATTGCTTAAGAAGAGATGAAAGAATTTGTTAAAACTAGATACCACATTAAACGAATAACACGTGTACTTAACATAAACGTAGTTCAGTTTGCGTAATTATCACTTGTATTTGAAATTGCATAATGCAATTTATATATTTAAAATAATGTAATAAGACTTAGATATTTGTAACATTATATTTACACAATTTTTTATTTTATAAAATTAAAATCTAATGCTCAATATGAGACTAATTATAAGTTGTTTAATTAATAAAAAGGCATATTTAGGGAGCAACGTATTAACAATATGATTTATTTTTTGACTATTAGACAAGAGCTCTAAAACTATATTTGCAAAAGAAATACAATACGTAACAATTTCCATTTAAATAAAATGAAATGACATTATCAACTAATTTAAGACATAACATTCAATTTTGTTTCAGAAACAGTTTAAATAATCATAACTATCATAAAAATTATACGTTAAAAACTTGCCGCTATATCATTAAATTATAAATTATGAAAGTTTCGTAAACTTATAAATATATTGCCCAAATCATAACTAAAAGAAAATATCAGGAGACTTGTGTTTCTATTGGGTAAGGGGAGGCTAATACAAACAATTTTTTATTTGACTTTTATGTATACCTATAATTGTTTTTTAAACTGTAACCATAATTTTAAAAAAACCAACACAGTGGGGTCGTGGCATAGTTGGGTCCAGTATAGATGATATCTGACAGTGATTAAAATCACTATCATAAAAAATGCTTCGATGAAAATCTGTAGATAGTGTTTAATTAAAAAAAAAAATTTGTCAAAAAAGTAGGTCAAGTGAGAGCTGAGAAAATAAATGATAGCTACAAAAAAAAACCACATAGTAAAATAATATTAATATGAATTTCTTTTCACGAGAGGAGACTACAGTAATGGGATCCTTGATATTTATTGAAGTTATTGAATCTAAATGAGATAAAAAACAAATGAGTTAAACATTCTTTTCTAACTCAAAAAGAATTAACAAAAAATTCAGTGCCACAGGCGTGAAAGATCCCAGTGTTACCGTCTCAGAAACCATACGTCGCATTCGTCACTCAATAAAAATGGAAATTTAGCTAGTTCAAATTTTAAAGTTATTTTTCTCGACTTCAAAGAAACAAAACAATTTAAATATGTTTAACTTTTTATACTATGTCAATTAAATTGATATAATATTTATGAAAATCAGTGTAATCCCCTTATAATAAAATAAAATACAAAACCAAGAATTTTAACACAAAAATAGAATATTTTTGAATACGGTAGATATTTTCACCATGAAGACAAAATAAAGTCCGACATTTTTTTTTTTTAATATTAAAGTATATTACATAAGCTTTAATTTAAGATATATATAAAAGTGTCAGTATTTCCGGAACACTTTCAAAAATTAAGTTGAAAAAGTTCTACTTTCTATATGCATTTTAAAAATTTGAACCCCCCCTGTATTAAGGGAACTGGTTCGATTTAAAAAAACATATGTCAAATTAAAGAGGTATATAAATATTATTTCTCCTAAAATAATTGTATTGATCCATACATTTTTCAAAAAGTTATAGCGTTATAAAGTTAAAAATATGAAAAAGAATTTTTTTCCAAAAATCGTATTTTTTTTATTAACTTTGATGACTGTTTTCACCATGAACACAAAATAAAGTCCGAAATTTTTTTTTTTTCCATAATGTAGAATATTATATTAGCTTTAATTTAAAAAATATATAGAAATGTCAGACTTTCTGGAACACTTTCAAAAGTTAAGTTGAAAATATTGTCATTTTAAATCCCCCCTGTAGGCAAGTAAAGGGTCAGAATTATAAAAAAATATATACAAAATGATAGGTAAAGCCATAATGAATCTATAAAAATAAAATTATATTTATTTGGTTATTTTTTAAAAAGTTATGGCAGTTTTAAGTAAAAAAAATTGAAAAAATGTCAAAAATTATTGATTTTTAATTTTGTAATTTTTTTGGAGATTTCCCCCATTTACAATGAACGAGGGAAATTTTTTCAATTTTTGAGAGTAATGTCTTCGACTAGATACGATTTGTGATTTTTTGACATATCGTTGAAAAAAATCGGTTCGGTTAGAGCTGAGAAAAAGTGGTAACAGACACAAAAAAAAAAAATAAATAAATAAAAAACACATCATAGTAAAATTAATACCTTCTCANGTAACAGACACAAAAAAAAAAAAAAATAAAAAAAAAACACATCATAGTAAAATTAATACCTTCTCAGCTTCGCATCGAAGCTAAAAGGTATAATAATATTTCTAAGTTAAATTAAATCATTAAAAATTAAACTCTTTGTTGCGTAAAATTTTAGTAATACGTATATTTAATGAAATCTATTAAACATTTTAAATATCTACAAATCCCAAATCATATTTTTTTAAGTATATTAATTAAATTTAAAACAGTATTATAAAATTTTGATATTTACATTGGTCTTGTGGGTAATTTTAACGTTTTTAACTGTTTACTAATGTTTTTAACAGGTTTTTTTTTTTTACAAATCTGTTTCAAGTTCAATATTTGTATGTTTTTGAGTTTAAAATAATTTAATATTTTTCATTATAATACTTCTTATAGAATTAATGTTTTTCAGTTGTTCACAATTTTATTGAGAAAAATAAAACAAAAGTACAAATGTTTATTATTTATTATTATAATTAAAATGTATATAATGTGTATTTATATATTATTATTAATTTAAATAATAACATTCAGACGTGTCAGAAGATTTTTCACGGGTGTATACAAATATAACGATTAAAAAATTGTTCTACTGAATAATACCATAGACAAAAATAATAATAAGAATGGGAGGGCCGAAGCTTTTTCGTTAGCGATACCATAACTTTAAATTATTTATTTTATTTACCAAACAAGTATTAAATGTACACCATATTCTTGACTGTCTATTTTACACAATCAATAATAAATTAACTTTAACGTTATCCACTAATGTAGCATAAAGTAAAAACAAAATCTATTTTTATTTCAACACTACTTGAATTGAAAAAAATAGTACACAATGATTATGTTATCGTGAATCACATAATTAGTCAAAAATAAAAGTTAAATTGAGATTTTTTGGCGTTTTGTTGTATTCAATAAATGAAACCAAAAAAAGTGATTAAAATCACCATCATAAGAAACGCTTCGATGCAAATCTATATATAATGTTTAATTTTAAAAAATTGATGGATTATTCCAAAAGCAAAATTTCTTATTTCCTTATTTATATAAGAAAAATTGTATAAATATAAGGATATTTATATAACATATGCTAATATAATATAATATAAGATAAATTTCATTTAAGTGTGTGAGCCAAAAATTGGCGTAAATACTCTTTTATGAATTCTAGGCCAGTCACTGTAGGAAACATTGGATATGATAGGTCCAATTCAAAGTTAATTTTTTTTTTAGCCAATTACTAAACATATTTAATTACTAAATTACAATTAATAAACTCATATTTTGCATAATCAGATTAAATAAACATTGAAGTTATTTAATTTAAAAAAATATTGAATAGATATAATTTTAAATGAAATTCTATTCTTTAAGATATTGTGAAAATAAGAACAACATAACCTTTTCGCTCATTTTAATATACAGAAAAATGTATGGTTTCTTTTCGAGCTTATAAATATACTATGTCAAATTACATACTGCACTTATCGTTAAACTCAACATATGTAATAAAATTAGATCAATAATATACTTTATAACTTACATTCTTAATAACCTTAAATTTTTAGTTTCTCTGATCTTATATATTATATTGTTTACTGAACTAAACAATTTGTTTCAAAAACTGTATTTCTATATAATCTATTTTCATTAGTTTCCTCAAATTTTTTATGGTAATTTAATTTAATTGATATTATAATTAGGAGCTTACTAAGATAAATAATTATCAAATGGTAAACAATAAATTCAGTAGTTTTTAAATCAACAGATCATATCTTTATAACTACCATTCAGTAACCGTTTGTATTTTAGTTACTATAATTTATTTTAAAGGCCATTTTAATTTCTTAGTTAATTTTTGTATAAAATTATATTTAATTTAATAGATAAAATGTTTATGTTTAAATAATTTTTTAAAAAATTTATCATTTTATCTGTAACTTTATTACGCTTGTATATTAGGCGTCATTAGAATGACTAAACAAAAATTAAGTGTTGTTATATAACAAAGAATTTTACCTCTCAAATAATTTTAACTAAAATAATATTACACAACAAATTGCAAGTTTATAAGAATAAAATTACGGAAACTTAAATAATAACATAATTTTATTTTATCCTTAATATTATAAAAAGTCAATTATTTACAACATACAAAAGTCACATAATAGGCAAGTCATTTTTTCTTTTGTTTCATTTTATTTTTTCTTGCTATCATCTCTTCTACTGTCATATCAACATCCATTTTACCATGTTCACTTGGATCACGTTGCAGAACACCTAGTTTTTTCATCATTGATTCCACATCTGGATTCTTACCGTTAAATGATATTCTTGCCATAGGAAGTAAATCGTAAAATAATTCCCAACTATTAGTCTTGACGACATCTTTTTTTTTAATTTTATGTTCGGATTTAATAACTACTTCAGATTCAACTGTTCCGACGTCAGGGTTCATAAATTTCATTTTCATCAGTGCTTTAGAAAAATTTTTACGAGGCTCACCTTTCGTTGATTTGATTTTTCCCATCTTGAAAATATAAGTAATGAGATACAAAAAATAACACTAATACTTAATACGAAAACTGTTTCTAGCAATATAATGTATGATGTTAAGTTAACAACATAGCACAAAAATATTTACGAGAAAATAAATAAGTGATAAAACAGTTATCATTTTAACTGATAATCTTGTTAGTCAAGTTGGCAACTTACAAAATATATAGTCTTAAATTTATATTGTATTTATTATGCAGAAATTATCATTGTATCAGTTATCATTCAAGGTCTCTGATAATAAAAAAAAACTTTATTATTATATTTATTAAATAATTTAGGTAATATTTGCTTCTTTTATATAGACAAGACATATTAAATTAGTGAGTCATAACTAATATTATTTAATTAAACACTCAAAAAATTGAATAAGAATTTTTAATCAATATTTTTACAACATAATATATTATATTTTGTTCAAATTTAAAACCAGTATTTTAATTATTTTATTTTAAATTAATTGTTTTTACATAATGTGTAAAACCAATTTAGAACGCACTATGTTCTTATAAAATTGTTCAATATTGATGTCATATGAAGTGATTTATTAGTTTATTTTATGTAGGCATCTTAAAATTAATTACCATTATGCCTTTGGAATGGTTGTTTGGACGTCGGATGACCCCTGATGAAATGTTAAGAAAGAATCAACGTGCACTTACAAAAGCTATGCGAGACTTAGATCGTGAAAATGCAAGAATGGAACAACAAGAAAAAAAGATAATAATGGATATTAAAAAAATGGCAAAAGATGGACAAATGGTAAGTGTTGTTATACAAAAATTAATTGATTTTTTTATAAGATCACATCAATATACATAAATTTATAAGTTTCCTGATTACAACTCATTTCTACCTTTTTAAAAATTAAGATTTTATTAACATTCACATTTATTTGTAAGATTATATTAATTTATAAATTTTATGATTGAATATCGTTATAAATATAATAATAAAATTAAAAAGTATCCCAATGAAAATTGCATAGACGTAACTCAAATCATATTTTTGTGAAACTTAATTCAATTTTCTTCTTTCAAAAAATGAAATAGAAATCATTACAAATGTCTAACAACAGATTCTTTGTCTTAACTTTATTTTAAGTACACTAGAAAAATTATATTTTAAGTTTAGGATATTTTTGTAAATATATACAGTTGATGTTTATTTTTGGCTTATAAATATGACAAAAGTTTAATAATCTATTCAAGTATTAAATTAGTAGTTAAAAGATATGAATATTTAATTAAATACTTTAAGTTACTCAAAATATAGCTTTATAAATTTTAGGTTTTGTCAAAATANTAAGTTACTCAAAATATAGCTTTATAAATTTTAGGTTTTGTCAAAATACATTGTATTGAACTTTTGAATCTATATTATTTAAAAATATTGTATTTTTCTAAAGTATGATCATTACTATAATTTAGTTCAATAGTTTGGAATTCAAATCCTAGTGGTTATTTGAAGACATAAAATAAAAGTTGAAAATTTAACAAAAAATGAAATAATGAATTGTTATAATTAAGAATCACTTAAGATAAGGAGGAAAAATCTAAATGCTTTGTGACTCTTTAGTTTGTTAAATAATGAGATAATGTATTCATTTAATTAAATTTAATTAAATAGACACTCAAAGATATACTAATTTAATAATAATTTTCTTCGATTAACATAACTTAAGTTGTATATGTTTTATAAATTTCTTACTATTAATAAACCTACTAAATATTTTTATTAGCATGAATATGTTTTTAGGCTTAGGCTAGTTAAAAATTTCAATATCTGTCCTTTGAATATGTGCTGTTATTTTTTTGTATCGAGTTATAATTAGTATTGTTACTAAAATAGTTTCTCTAACTTCAATTATTTGTGTTAACAAAAGCCAAAGACTTATTCATAATTTAATGTTTTTCAGTGAATTAAAGAAAATGATTTGTTATATTTATTAGAGTTACATCATAGTAAAACATGTAGTTGTGTTTTATTTAATTTTAGTTTGATCAATAGTTTAGTTACTAGGTAACCTATTTATTGTATGTATTAGTATTTGTGTGACCGTACGCAATTTTCATTATTATAGTGAAGAATAGTCATAATTGTCAGCTAGTTGAAATTTTATGATTATGTTATTATTAATTACTATTAGTTATTATATGTGACTATTAGTTTATTAATATAGTCTGAAATATTTAGGGCTAAAAATTATTTTTAATTAATAAGTTAAATTTGTTTATTTTATTCAAAATGAATCAATTTATTCCAAAATCAAAGCGTGTTGTTCCACCATTTAGTTCTCAATCTCGACAACCTAATACTGTAGTAGTTGGACCTCCTCGATCTTATAGGTACCACACCAAAGTTGGAAATACAGCATTTCGTCGGTATTACGACCGAGGTGATTTTTTATTATCTGTAGATAGTGGCCGTATAATGTGGAAAACTTCTTTTGATAATATTGATTATCATCATTATTTACCAATATTTTTTGATGGTTTACGTGAAGTTGCTTATCCATATCGTGCTGTAGCAGAATGTGGGGCATCTGATTTACTAAAAAATGGAACGTCAGATCGCATATTACCTGTTGTACCTCAGTTGATTATTCCAATTAAACTAGCATTAAATACGGGACATCCTGATGTAGTTGTTTCTACTTTAAAAATGATTCAAACATTGGTTACATCAGCTGATATGATTGGAGAAGCTTTAGTACCCTATTATAGACAAATATTGCCACCCCTAAATAAATATAAGAGTATGAACAAAAATACTGGTGATGGCATAGATTATGCGCAATACCAACAGGAAGATATTGGAGATTTAGTTAACAGAACATTAGAAATACTTGAGCAACATGGGGGGGCACATGCTTTTATTAATATAAAATACATGATACCTACTTACGAATCAAGTATTATTAATTAATTAATTAAATATCTTGTATATTCCGTGTTTTAGTGGAGTTGTGTAAATTATTAGTAATATTACATTTATCCAAACTACTCTACTTTCCATTACTTTTTAACCATAAAATCACTTTTTAGATTATCTATATCTATGTAGACAATATATCTTGAATAGATAAATAAATATTTTGAGGATTTAGGAATCAGTAAAAATCATGGCAAGAGACTTAGTTCGAACAAGACGGTATCAAAAAAAGTTTATGGTCATGAAGGCAAACATACAAGCAGTTTCATTGAAAATTCAAACTCTTAAATCGCAAAATGCTATGGGTCAAGCTATGAAAGGTGTAACTAAAGCTATGCAAAACATGAATAGGTAAAAATATTAGTGATAATTTAAAAGTTTTAGATTCTACACTATTGTAATATTCATATTATGGGTATTCATTAACATAATATATTTAAAAAATATTTAGACAACTTAATTTACCCCAAATTCAAAGAATACTTCAAGAATTTGAAAAACAATCTGAAGTAATGGATATGAAAGAAGAAGTTATGAATGATGCAATGGATGACGCTATGGATGATGAAGCAGATGAAGAAGAAACGTAATATGTTACATTTTTCTTATTTACTTAATGTGCTAATTTTTTTTTTATCTTTTCAGTGATCAAATTGTGACTCAAGTACTAGATGAATTAGGCCTTCAACTTACAGATCAGCTGTCTGGGCTTCCAACAGCATCTGGTTCTATTAGTATTGCTACAACAGGGAAAGTACCTGTTGTTGCCCAAGACGGAGGAGGAGCAGCACCAGCTCAACCTCATGATGCGGATGCAGACTTACAAGCTAGATTAGATAATCTAAGGCGCAAATAGAATTTTTCACTATATTATAATTTTCAAGACACTTCTTTAAACATAACATTGTATTAATATTTAAATATATATTTTTTAAAAAATATCAAAGAAAAAAGTACTTGTTTGGTACTTAATTGAATGTTTATATTATTATGTAAGATTAAAATGTGATTTAGAGTTATATATTAATACTAAGCTTTAGCAAGAGAATATTCCACTTTTTTTATAAGGGGTATTTAATTTTAAAGCTTATACCAAATGTTTTATAAAATAATGTTTTAATAATATTGTAGGTATATATAAATTATAAATATGAAATATAATAAGGTACGGTAGCATAAAAATTTATATTTTATTTAGGTTCTTTATAAAAACGTATGTTATTTCAATGTTGAAATATTTTGTTTAATTAAACAATCTTAACTTTAATTATTAATGTACTTCTTGTTTTTAATTTTGACAAAATTAAAGGCACTGCTTATAACAAAAAAAAAACACATAAAAAATGAAAAAATATATTATTTATGCTTATTTATAAAAACATTTAAAAATAAATGAAGGTACAAAAGATACGCTGGTACCTGTTCTTATAATTCTGAGGTACTTAATTGTTTGTAAAAAAACAATAAAAATTGGTAAAAATTTACATTAAAATAAAAATAACATAATATTATAAAATAAAACAAAATTGGTAAATTGTAAATATAATGTTTGTTTGTATCACTGTTTACAATTGACTAAAATGCATACTTGAAATTTGGATTATTCGTATGCCACCCGGTAGCTTTAGGTCCAAATTTGTAGACTAGTCGTTTGCCTTGTACTGGTAACAGGACACCAGTCTTATAATAATATCGCATTGCTCTGCTGAATTTTTCATAGTTCATTCTTTCATTTCGCTTAAACTTTCCCCAAAGTTTTGCTACTTTATCACTCTGAACGAATCTAAACCGACCTTCTTCATAATTTTCCCAACAAATGTATGTAGGGCAATATTGTGCATCTAGAAGTAAGTCTCGTATAAATTCCCATATCCTACTTAATTTTGGTTCAGTTTTGGATCGTTTAGATTTTATTCCTCTTGGACGTCCTACGCGTTTCTTCTCTTTTAATAACACATTGGCTTTACAAAGTTCTTCATCGATATCTATAAGTTAAATAAAATAATTAATATAACTAGACTTAACTATTTTGAATAATGGACATATTTTGTACTATGCAAATCGTTTAAAACAAAGGACACGAATATTATTGCGACTAAATATTAAATATAACATAAAGAGAAGTCTTCCGTTTTGAAAATATACAAGTACAATATTCTCACATTTTTGACAAACTGCAGAGTCCTTAATGCTCTGAGGCTCTCGTTTTTAGAAGAATACTGAAATTAGGGATAAGAGCAAAGGGACCTACAGTGTACAATCTTTGTTGAAGTATAATTTTTTTTTAACTACCAAAGAAAATTTTCTTTTTAATTAGTGTTATTAACCAAAACATGGTCATTAAACAATTTTTTACGCTCTGAGTAACTTACTAAAATTAATTCGTTAGTATAAGTTTTTTTTAAAAACCTACATGTATACGAATAAAATTATAATTACAAAAATAATAATAAATAAACTTTATTTATTTATTAGCAGCAACCAAATGCATAACAGCTTGTTAAAACCGTATGCAACTAATAAACGATATTTACCTAAGATCGAAGGTAATACACAGTTATTATAGTTGTCAATCGATTGATAGTAACCGTTGTGTAAATTTGGATTATAAACAGGAACGCGCTGAGAAGATTCATGATTATGCGTCGAAGTTGTTATAGGGGTATGCCATGACGCAAAATATTGGTGCTGATTATTGTTATTACAATTATTAGTCACTTGATGATTGTAGTAATAAATTTCTTCTTCATGACTATTGCTACCATGAGACACACAATCATCTTTTAAATTCATTAACACCGATGCCAAGTCTCTTTCGTTTTCGCCGTAATTTGAATAACTATCCATATCCCACTATAATTCAAAATTCATTAATATCTAAATAACAATTGCTAATTTTAATATGTTTGCCTAATTAATCTTAATGCTGCGCTCGAGTTATAGAATATTATAGTAGCTTAATGACTCGTATTATTTAATTTAATAAATTATTATTCAATAAAGAAAACTTCAAATTTTTTCTACCCTAACCTTATGTGCCGAAAACTAAATAGTAAATTTTTACCTGCGGGGAAGTGTAATAATCCTCTGTGAGGTATATTTCGTTGGTCTGATATGCACCCTGATCATTCAAATCCCACATCCTTGAGTAAAAAACAAAACATTCAACTTGATAAGTTTTCAAATAAAAGTTGTTATTTTTTATAAATTATGTATTATATATATGTATAAATTATTTATATTATAATATAAACACACACCGTGTTAAATAAGTTAGGAAAATGGGTTTCATTGTTATCATCAGTACCGCCGTTAGGTTTTGCAAGCCGGTGCATACTAATTGCAACCCGAGATCAAGTAAAACAAAATTTCATATACAAATTGCATCCCGATAGCCCTTAAATTATAACCCAGATTTTATCATAACTTTTAAAGGTTTACACTAATTTAATCCATTTATTGAATGTCATGAGGCACACTTTCCGTACCGTGGTTTCCATTATCGTAAAAAATATTAATGTAATACAAGACAATTAGAATTTCATTTTGCAAATAAATGAAAAAATATTCTAAACATAATGTTAGTATCATAAGTTCATAGCGTAAAGTGTACAGTTATTGGCACATTTTTAACAACTTTAATAATAAAAACAGGTGTGTCGGTTATTGAAATAAAATAATTTTTTTTTAATAATTAGGCAGTCTGTTCGCTTTATATTTTTGTCAAAAATGTAATTTTAATTCAACTTTGAGAGTTACTACAATCAATTAAAAAAAAACCAGCACAATGGGGTCACGGCACAAATGTGTGCGCGGCATAATTGGGACAATTATAGATTATATTTGACAATGATTCACATCACCATCACACAAAAAAAAATAAGTTTCGATATGAATCTGTAAGATTTAATAATAATTTGTACATTTATCATTTTACAATTGCGATATTATAAATTTTCACTCAGATATTAAAGGCTTGTTAAATTATTTCTCCACTGTACTGAGCTATTAATCATAAATTAAACCTATAAAGCTTTAATTTAATAAAGGCTTAAAGTTGTCAAAACTGCCGGAACATTTTCAAAATTTGAAAATAAAAAATTGTTTACATGCGTAGGTGGCCTGTTGCAAACTTATTCCGTACTTAAATATGTCATTGGATGTTCGTAAAACGCAAAGAAATCGATTCAAAGTTACAAAGTTATTTTATCAAGATTTTTTCTTTTATTGTGTCTTTATTAATACTCTAATTGAACTGAACTAATGTTAACAATAAATACATAAAATTATCACAAGTTTACCTAGCTGAAAAAATTCCCTTTATTATTTTTATTATTGAAAATATCCTAAAAATAGGAAATTGTTGAATATGGCTGATTTTGGTGCTTTTAAACATCATAAACAGCCTTTCAGTTATACGAGTTTAAAATGTAATGAATCAAAGCGAATTTTTTTTTTGTTTTACTCTAGAGAATAAACTTTCTTTTAAGATATTTTTATGAAAATCCGATTAATATCATAAGTAAAATTGAAGTTTGAATATAGCTATAGGCATGTCAAAAAGTTTTTCTATTATGAAAATTTTTACTTTTTTAAAAAAAATTTAACTAAACCGTGTGCAATGTGATTTAAGTTAAAAATAATGTTCTATGGTTTTTTTTTCTGCGCGTCTTGTGTTTTTATGTAAAAAATTATATAATTTACAAATGTAAAAGTGCAATCTTTCGAATTGCTGGGTTTACTCGACTACAATGACTACAATGAAAACCCTTTTCTAATGCTTTGTTCGTAACAATACACTCATTTCCTTACCTTTTGAACACTTTTACAGAACATATAAATAACGCTTTTAAATTTTTTTAATCGAAGTATATAATTTAAAAACGAAATATTTTAACTAGAGAACCTTAAATTATTTTCAATTTTACCAACAAATACTTTAACATTTTTAATTTTAGATTTATTATATTTATCCTTTCTTATAAGCTACTACTTGTACAAGAGAAAACGAGTGCACCTGTACAAATCGACGGAACAGAAACGAATTCCTATTAGGTACCCGTTACCGACCGAACTATACAGACATAAAATATATAAAAGTATATTTTTGTTTGGCATTCAAAACACTTAATTTTAAGTTATCTATTTATTCGTATGGCGTATTTAATACTGTATGTTGCGAATTTTATTTAGGATTATTTTGAAAAAAATGTTCACGAGTTTAAATAATTCATAACATTTTCTTTATTAGAAATCAAATATGAAATGTTATTGAAATATCACTTTACAAAGCCTTAAAAAAGATCATAGAAGTTTTGTTACATAAAAGATATTTAATTTTTTACACATTGGAACTTATCTGAAAAATTAAAAGTGTTAGAAAATAACCAAAAATAGATTTGAAATAAGCGCAAAGTATTAACATTTTTTTTTTTAATTTCCCATAAAATTTTTTTTTTACCATGTATTAGTGTAATTAATCTTTTTCTTCGCCTTAATCCTAACTACTTGGGGTCAGCCACCCTTAAACTTCCATTTCCCACGATCTCGCACATTACCTACACTCACATCAGCCGTTTTCATATGGCATTTAATAACATCCATCCATTTCTTTTTAATTTTCCACTACTTCTTCTTCGTTCAAAATTCATTTCTATAAATGTTCTCACAGCTTCCGATTCCTCTCTCCTCATAACATGACTAAAACGTTTAAGTCTATTTTCTCACATCTTATTCACGATTGGTGCTACACTCATACTCAATCTTATATGTACGTTCTTTATCTTATCTTCACTAGTCACTCCACTCATCCATCTAAGCATTCTCATCTCTGCTACTCTGATCAACTTTTTTGTCAATCGCCCAACTGTCTAAACCATACATCATAGCTGGTCTCACTACAGGCTTATAGAATTTACCTTTCAGCCTCATTGGAATTATTTTATCGCATAACAAATTAGTGTAGTTAATAATTAAACAAAACAGTTTGTTTTGTATATCTAAAAAAAACATTTTTTGTAAAATTCAATTTGTTTATCGTACTCATCTAAAATATCTATAAGATTCAATAATTTAATTGTTTATAACACGTTTAATAATTCGCTTAAAATAAAATAAAAAATAACAATATAAATTTTACAAAATTATGAGATTTGAATACTCTTCTATTATATATAGCAATTATGTTAATTTATATTTGTTCAACCTTTATAAAAAATATAATTTTTGAAATCTTCATAATATTTTCTATTTAAGGGTATAAATAGTTATATCCGTAAGTTTATTGTAAAAAATTTATAGTGAAAAGTTCAGTTTTTTTTTTTTTGTAAATGACTATTTGACTCATCTTCAGAGGTTAGAGGGAACAAACTAATTTGATCTATCTGAAAATTTTCAGAGCTTATTTTTAAAATCATTAAAATAAATGTATGGGTACCGTAAAAAAAACAAAATTGATTTTCTAGAGCTACCCTAGTGGATACCTTTTTTTGTACATCTAGCTTAACAATGAAAATTAAAATTTATGAAAATTAAGGGAGATTTTTTTTTTAAGATGGACAAAATTTTTTGTTAATGACTTTCTTTTCAAATAGTTTTCATATTTTAGAAAAAAATACTTTTTTAGTTTACTCAACAAAAAATATGGTCTAGTGATAGCCCGTCCTCTCAAATGCCCAACATTAACTCAATCATTCAATGATACAACTAATAAAACTTCTCTTAAGATTTGATATACTTTTGATAAAATATGTACTTTTTAAAGTGAACTATTTGATTTATATCCCACATTGTACCTTAGAAGTTATGTCAGATAAAAAGTGAATAGAAAAGAAATATTATGTTAATATCACTATTATGAAAACTTTTGTGATTTTACACCTACCTAAGTCCTTAGTTTTATAGTTGTGATTTATTATCTATGATTGATAGCCGATAGTCGTTAAGTAAACAATAATATACATACTAAGAGAACCCTGAAAACATAATAATTTGTTTATTAATTTTCACTATTTTCAGAATATTCCTTATAAGCAATATTATATAAATTATTTATAGAATATTTTTTTATTAAAAACAAACATTAAAATTGAATATTATGCTGTTAATTAATTAAAAAATATGTCTAAATATACATAAGAAACTTTCTAGTTAAAAATACTTGTTAAGGAATCTACATCCTTCTATTTATGTTACATATTTCAGAAATCGTCTATCACTGTATATTACATCGTGTCATACAACGTTAATTTTACATTTTTATTATTAATAAAAGAGTAAATTATTAGTAATAAATTATAATTATTAATTTTATTTTGAATTAAAATTTATTCGAAATAATTAAGATAGAAACTTCTCGAAGATAGATAAAAAATATGCATATGAAAAGCATAGAGGAACATAATGCACACGGGGTATTGATGTACATCCCCATAATATTTCGTGAACTAGCAGTATTAGGCTTAAATTATAAGAAACAAAAATTATTGTCTGATTTAGTTTAATATATGAACAAAATTTAGTACCATTATTGTCATTATTCTATTGTTAAATACCAAAAAAGTAAAAATGTAAATGGTTAATATGAATGTTTTTATAAAGTTCCAAGAAAAACCTATTATACTAAAAGTTATATTTTAAAACATTTATAAATGATGTTGTTGTATAATTTACATATATACTTGACTTATAAAATATACTGTGAAACATATTGCAGAACATTTATTTCAAAAAATTCATTTGGTTAATACTGTGCATTTATTTTGAGGAAATCATGCACGCACACTTATTAAACATAGATTGTCATATCTAACAAAACACCACGTTTTATTAGAAAAAAATGTGCACATTATTTGAAAATTATAATAAAATTGAAAATTTAGAGGAATAATTTATAATTGTTCTTCGTCCCGAATTGATCAACTATAGGTAATTTTTAAAACTTCAAATTCTTTAAATTTTTATAACTAAGGGGACTGTAGTGCATTGTTCCCTGAAGTTTCTAGAATACTCTATCTCACCAAACAGATCTACTTAAAAGAGTTTATAATAATCCTATACTTTTTAAGAATTCATATTTCATTTTTCCAAAAAAGTATCTTTTTTGAAACAAATATACTCAAATTAAAAATTTGGACGTTTCATAGATGTTTGCTAGGAAGTTAAAGATTTAATAAATTTAGGTTTGCAGGGTGTACGAATAAATATTATTTTTTGTGGTGTTTTATTTTTATCATTAAAATACAACATTAGTTTTTCTTTGGGTACATGTCTTTACACCTAATTATTCTACAAAATTAAAATAGTCATGTAAGTTTCAATGAGCAAGTTGTTCGATAAAATTTTAATCTATTATTTCAAGTGACTGGAGATAATTACTTATGTCTTATAGGGGGTATCGGACTTTGTTTTTTTTAACACAAATGTTTAACTAACTTATAAAATAGAAAATTATCTAATTAAAAAAAGGACTGGTCGATTATAACTTTTGGACCTGTATTTCAGAAGTTATTAACATTTTTATAACTAGGCGGGAGGTGGAGTGAGGCTAATAAATTTCGGGTGATAAAAATAGCAGCACTCACTCGTCGCCTCTAAAAATCACTTTAAATTATTAATAACTTCTGAAATACTGGTCCAAAGTTGTTATCAACAAGTCATTTTCTTAATTATATAATTTTCTATTTTATAAGCTAGTTAAATAGTCATGGTTCCATTTAAAGTTGACACCTTTATAAGACAAAAAGAATAAACACAAAAAATAATTAATAACAAATAAACAAATAAACAAAGATACGTATATAATTAACAAAAATAAAAATAAAAAATGCTTAAAAAAGTTATTATTTCAAGAAAAATTGAGTGACTAGCATTAAAAGAAACACATTGTATTTTCTTTCATACTTTTATATTATCAAAATAGAAAAATAATTTTTAATGAATTTTGTCCACGTTACTCTGAATTATTTTATATTCATGGTACTGTTGCCAATTAATTTATTTTTAATAGAAAAATAATCGTGTTTAATAAGATTTAGTATTTGTTATTAACCTACATATGTTACACTAATGTTATATTTT